AATAAAATTATGTAAACCTTATGTTACATATTTGTTTCCTATCCCTAAGGTGGAAAGGAGAGACATGGTGCCCAAGTCATTCAGGCCAATTTGCCTCAGTTCTTTTTTACTGAAGACAATGGAGAAGCTAATTTATAATCATATCATGGCCACTGTTTTAGTATGAAAGCCGCTAAGCGGCAGTCAGCATGCGTATCAGGTGGGTAAATCGACGGGGATTGCCCTTTACGGGCTGACGAGCACCCTGAACAGAACAATATAACAAAAGGAGGTGGCGTTCTGTGCGTTTCTGGACATTGAAGGGGCCTTCGATAACACCTTGCACAAGGCGATAGAGAGACCATGGACGTGGATACCACGACGTCGTTCTGGATGTCCAGGATGCTCACTACAAGGTTAAAGAAACTGTAGTCGAGTGGAGCACGGTGAGCATGTGCAGGATAGGGGTGGAGTTCTTTTTCACTGATGGGGAGTTTGGTGGTGGATGGCTTACTTGAGGAACTTGGCCGCCCGGATATAGGCGTCCAAGCACACGCTGATTATATTGTTATCATCACTAGGGAAAAGTTTGAGGAGACTCTTTGCGACTCTTTAAAACGTCCTAATTATGTATTGAAACGCTTTAATTCTATCTATTTTTAACGTTATTTCAAATTTGTATAGAAACCTGGAGGTACTATATGAGAAAATTTTTCAAAAACATGCTTTTTTGAACGAAATTTTCTAATATTTTTTTTCAATTTTTTAAATATTTATTCAATAGCTAAATTTAGACAAAACTAATAATATAAAAAAAATTACAGAATGTTTGTGTAAATTACAAATATGGAAGGTTAAATATACATTCATACATGCACACTTAATTTGTTATAAAAAAAAAATTTAGGTTTCACTTTCAAATTTTCATTCGTGCAAATCCTTTTAACATATTGTCACGCGTAAATATAGATGCGTATATATGTATGTATGCTACTTGTAAATGTAAAAATTTTCAATTTGAATTTCTAATATAAATACGCAGTCTGATGATTTCCATTTTCATTCTATTTATTTAAATTCGAAATTATTTTATTTTAAGCCTATTTTACATAATATTAGAGTTTATGCTTTATACAATATGTATGTAGTATGAATTTATAGAATAAAGCCTAAATATATGCAAATATTTGTATAAGGAAATCATTTTATTTTACAGATCAAGACAATTGTATTTTCGTTATACTTGTACAATATTTGATAGTATTTTGTTTATAAAGGGGAGAGGCAAGTTGTCGTAAAATGAACTGTGAAACACAAGAAAATCGTGTTTATGTTAAGAAAATTTTTTATTGTATTTTTATGTTCTGTAATCATTAAAACAGAATGATTTTATTGCGATTTATGAAAACTTAGAGATGATATTAATTGAGAAATCTCTTGGTTTGCGAGAGTAAAGTCGGTTATCAAATTTAATTTACTTATTTTTAAAATATTAAAAATTACTGTCGGCTTGATTTTAATGCTTAATTTAATACAATTTTCTTAGGGTGTCCGATCTATCTGCATTTTCTTCTTTTGATTTGTCTAAGGGACAAAGTCTCTTTTCATTTGTCTAAGGGGTGGGTGGCTTGGGGGTTACTCCTGTCCACCGAGTGGGACAGGAGTAACCCCCAAGCCACCGCAGCCATTCTTGATTATTGTAGCCTCCCCACGCTCCGGCCTATAATATCCCCGACCCAACCACAAAGCCGGAGATATCCCTAAGGGACTGGACAACAGCTCCCGAACACTTAGGAACCCATGTCCAAGACAATTGCGGCGCCGAACAGCCAGTGCCGGACAGTAGCAGAAAATGTGCACGGCGGTCTCATCACCACCCCCACAAAATCTGCACAGGGGGGAGTCCGACTTCCCCAGTCTATACAGGTGGTATTTCACCGGGCAGTGCCCCGTGAAGAAATTCGCAATAGTGCGAACCCGGCTCCTGCTCATCCCAGCTCTGCGGTGAATTCGCTGGAGCACGCCGAAAGGAACTCCTTCGCATAACGACCCTTTCGTGTCGGCACCCAGCTCATCGGCAATTTCGTTGCCCGCATGACCACTATGGCCCGGCACCCAAATGAGCGTGACTATGTTCTCCGATGCCAATTCCATAAGTGCAGCAAGGCAGCCCCAGACCAGCTTGGATGTAACCTGAGCTGAAAAAAGCGCCAGCAGCGCAGCCATGCTGTCCGAGAACACATAGATGGTGCGGTTTCTATACCCCCTTTCTAAATTGATTCTCAGACAGATCTCTATTGCATGTATTTCGGCCTGGAACACCGTGCAATACGGGTCAAGGGTTGCATATACACGCGTGTCCGCCAACTTTAGCCCTGCCCTGAGTTTTCAAGGACCCCCACCAGACTCTGCAGAGAGAGTACAGTAGACCTTCCCGACTGATAGGTGTACTGAGATTCATGCAAGGGATTGCTTCCCAGTGCATCTTCCCGTATAAATCTATCAATTACTTTTTCCATTGCTTTCAACAGAAAAGAAGTAAGGCTGATTGGACGGAAAGACCTTGGGTGGTTGCTTGGTCGCTTACCCGCCTTCGGAATATACGTCACTTTAGCCACCCTCCATGTCTGAGGGATGTAACCCCACGCATAGCTGGCACGAAAAATTTCCAACAGTGCACTGGCTCTATGTTGGAAACCCCTCTGTAAAAATGCAGGATATATCCCGTCATCACCTGGAGATTTGAAGGGCTTAAAGAGAAAATAGCCCATCTAACCCTGCCCATCGTGAAGCCCAGACGGGATCGTTGTCAGTCATACCTCCTGGGCCAGGATGCCCTCGGTTCAATGACCGCATTTGAGTGATTCCGAAGAATCTCCGGGTCAGGAAAACGCGTTGACGCCAAAAGCTGTTGACGTCTGCTTGTCACCTTAGTTTTGTCTGTGTAACTTTACACTCACAAACTTTCTCTGTAAGTAAGTGACTTCGGTGACTGTAAGTAAGAATCACACGGTTTATTTCGCCTTGGGTTTCCTTGTCTTTTAGTGCTTTCTTATCGCGCCTAATTGTGTCAAAAGCCTTCTTCAAATCGATGAAGAGCATGTATAGTGGTGCTCTGCACTCTACTGACTTTTTGACCAAGTGTTTTCGCTTGATCGACACAACTTTAATACGGGCGAAATCCAGCTTGTCCTGAACGTATTGTATATATGACCCCAGTAACCGAGTAGTAATGCACTCAACGGTGAGTTCAAATCCCATGGGATCCGCACTGAATATCCGATGTTAAATCCATAACGGTATCAATAAAAAATGTATAATATCAGTATAAATTCAATATGAAATATTACCTTAATTTAATATTCTATATGAACGGCAGCATCAACAAACAATATAAAAGTTTATTCTTTATAAACAATTATGTTAAAAACAAATGTCCATAATACATTGGACATATGTATGGACATATATATGGACACAAAAAGATATGTCCATAATACATATAACACTGGCATAACATCTAAAAGTCAGCAACTAAACGTCTGGGATGAGCGTAGCCGCAACGACATCTCGTCAAATGTGAACTTCTACAGAAGGCCGATCATTTGCTTAGACAGTATAAATAGATTACCGAAACATACCCTCAGAAATACGAATGATCTCATACGGAAACGAACATTAGAACACGAATAAGGACAAGAATAACACAATGGAACGTCCGTAACTTCCAACAAGTATCAAAGCGTGGAGCAATAATATAATACTGTCGATGATAGTTCATAGAAATTAATTTCCAATATTGCAAAAAGCAATTAATTACTGCGAAATATTTATAACAATATTATGTAGGTGTAACCGCAACATTTTTGAAATTTTAAAATTAAAATTATTAATTTATTTTAGCAATATCTATAATTAGTAACCAAAAAAAATGTCACAAAATTTTCTCAATTCTCTGTATTGTTCTTTTTTGCTTTGTTATGCCAGGACAATTTTCTCCCATTAAAAAAATTTTTGTTTTTAATTTTTTCCCTTTTCCGTATAATTTTAATGTACTTTGAAAAAAATTATGAAAATGTAAAGTAATTATGCTTAATGAGGCTTTCCTTAAAACAAAACAAATATACATGGGTAATTTGCATTCAAAATGTACATTCGGTTGCAATTTTTTTTTTTTTACGATTTAACTTTTTAAAAGTAGGAAAGGTATTTTAGAGTGAAGAAATGTTTAAATTTTTTGAATTTAGTGATGGGACACTCGAATAGACAAAATTTTCAGATTTATTTCAAGATTTATGAAAAAAGGTAAGAATTTTACTCCTGAGTGTTATCAAATGTATTTTAAAAAAATCGAATGACTGCTATAATTTTTTCAACCTTCACAAAGTCTTACCAGCATTAGTAATACAAAACCTTTCAATCTGTTAACCCATTTTTTTAATATTCAAATATAATTTAATAAAAAATTAGAAATTTTTGTTTCTATCTCTTGAAAAATTTGCTAAATTTTTTCTAAATTTAAATATTTTTTATAAAAAATAAAATTTTTTTGAAAAAACTATTTTATTAGATAGATTTTATACTCGAGTAATTTATCCTATAATACAAATTTAACTTGATAATTATTTAAACCTAAAATTATTTATTCTCAAAAGCTTGAAATACGATAACACTCAGGAAATTTTATAACACTCAGGAAAGGCAGAAATAAAACTTAGCATAAAAACATTATTTTTATAAAAAATTTATTTTTTAATATATTTAGAACTTCTAACATGACAAAAACTTAAAAAATATTTCAATATTTGCTTCAAAGACTTAAAGTATTTCAATGTATAAAAAATTAAAATTAAAGTCTCTTCAAAAAATAATCAAAAATTAAAAAGAGGCAATGAAAAAGAAATATATGTATATCTGTTAAATAAAATTGCATTTTTTCTTTTTAAGATTCTAAATCTGTATAAATTTCATTATATTTAAATTTACGTCTACTTTTGTTTTGTATTTTGGGTAACATGTCGAACGCCTTTGCCTTCATTTTATGACAATCACATACTTTTCCCTGTATCCAATTATTCGTTTTACAAAAACAAGAAAGATTTATGTACATCATTTTACTATTTTGGAAACATATAATTTGATGAATGTCCCTCGTTCCAGGAATTGTTTTTATACCATCTGGTAATTTTTTAGTGTATTCAGGAAGGTTTTCTGTAGGAACGAAAAATAACTTAACATCTAATTTGCCTTTTAGACTATTATAAAAAGCATGTGCATCTGGGATATCAGAGCCATGCGCCACAAAAGCCATGCGTCACACGTTTTTGCAAGCCTTGAACATCGTTTCCTGTATTTTTCTGCCTTATCAATATCTAACTTACATTTACTTTTCAAGTTTTCCATTTCCTTTTGAAATAGGTATAGTTGTTGTCTTAAATTCTTATTTTGTTTGGCTTTTCTTTTAATCTTTGTTTCCAAATTTTCGTTTATCTCTTTAGTTCCTTTGTCACCATTAGCAGTCTCTTTTCCAGATATTGTAGGAGATTTTTCCAGATATTCAGAAGGGAGGGTTTCTGGCGACGCCAGCACTGATTCGGAATAGCGCTGAGACTCACTTAACTTTAATGCCGCATTAGTTCTATCTTTCTTTATTTTATCTTTTTTTCTTTTATATTGCTCATTCCACAGTTGACGTTGATATTGTTGCATCTTTTTAGACATATCTCCGATTTTTTTCTATTGGCATTTCTTGCAATTAAAACATTTGAATAAGTTAATTTTTGGAGAATATTAAGAAAAAAATATCAACAAATACATACCTTTGGTTGTGTCTTTCTTTGTATTTTTCGTCTCTTGCCAATCTAATTTCCTTTTTTGGCGGTATCTTTTTTTAAATTTCCGCGTTTGAAAACTTATGTTTTCTCGTTCTGGCATTAAAGTAAAAAAAAATCACACTAACACTTTTTTCTCGTAAAACTTTTTATATGGGAAAAAGTAACACTCAGGAAATTTTTACATACATCAAAATGTAAATATTGAAAATTTTTAAAAATAAAAAAGGTTATTTGTTATTTTGTAATTTGATTAAGATACATAATAAACTAAAATATAAGATTGATTTGAAAAAAAAAATTATTTTAATATACTTAGACCATTTAAAAACAGTTAACATGATATAACACTCAGGAGTTTTTTTCGTTACCAAAATGCACTACTTACCATAATATTGATATTTCCGAAATTATTTATTTTTGTTTATCAATTTTATAATATTTTTTTGTATTTAAATATAATTACACTCTCTATTATAAATATTGCAATACTAAGAAACAAGCTTTTAATTTTTTGTTTTAACAACAAACTGAAATAACACTCAGGAAATATTTAGAAGAAAAAATCCCGGACACTTAAATTCGCTTAAAAATTATTAAATTCTCGATCAAATTTTTTTTCAAATACGTGATATAACGGGAGTCTAGCAATGCAGTTGGCGCCAGGCTGCCTCATTTTTTGTTGCGTAGTATAATTTTTTGTTTTTATTTCTTAAAGAAATTTTTTTTTTGAAGTGCGGACAACTTCTTTTGTATGGAATTTTTTTGCAGGGTTCTATTATTTGGGATAAAAATTTTATTTAGCGGCACAAATTATTCAAACAAATTAAATTTTTTATTAAAAAATTTCCCAAATTAATATAAATTGCATGTAATTTTAAAATTTTTAATTTTAATTTTTGAAAAAAATTGTGTCAAAGTTTCCGGACATAGAAAAAGCATTTTAAATGCAAATTACCCACATACATACACACATAAGTATATGCAACATTTTTAAATAAAATGTGTCACTTTCCAAAAATTCTTCATAAAAAAAATAAAATTTAGTACGATACTTTTAACTTATTTTAATTTAAATTAAACTCAGTTGCCTGCTACGAGTATTCAAAATTCAGAATCGAGTTTTGGTAAATTTTTGCGTATGGCAGAGTATTACATACCAACAGAATATTTTAAATAGACCTACCCAATTTCAATTTCGCTAATATTCGAAATATTAAAAATTATACGCAAATGTAACATAAATTTCAAAAATTCATTTGATGTTGGTGTAAGTATTTTATATTAAAATGAAGTTTAAACAGACAAGGTCAGATAGTCAAAATTATAAAAAAAAATTTTGAAGACCATTTTCAATATTGTTGCTTTTTTGTCCATTACCATAATTGCTTTGGGTGTTTTCCTGGTATGGTAGGCATTTCATAAATTTATCAAAACATTCTTTAAACCTAATTTTCTCTATTCTTTTAATTCTTTTAAATTTTTGTATAATGCTTTAATTCTTTAACAAAAAATTAAAAATATCTTTTAACAAGGATTAACTCATTATGCTTGACAAGAATAAAATAATGGGATCTACCAACAATTTCTGCTCATTCTTCGTTATTATTCACATGTATACATATTGTATACGTTATGTATAAACAAAGTATTCAAATAAAATACATATACATACATTTGTGTATTATTTTTTTAATAATCCAAAGAATTAACATTAATAATGACGAATACTTTTTGTTAAAGGGAAGGTTACAATATTTTGTATAATTTGGTTGGAAAATTTTAATAAAATATTTTTATTAAATGCGTGCAATATGTGAAATTTTTTTTTATTATGGTCATAAACTAAAGAGAAGAGACAATAAACTAGAAAATGCAATAATCATGGGAAGTGAAGTCATAATCGTATGAATATAAAAATCTCAGCTAAGAGAATTTCGCGAATTCACAAAGAATTTTGTCCATCATTCTCGTTCCCGTTGAATATGAAAAGGATAGTATTTCAAAGCCTGTATGTTGACTGTGGAACAATTCGTTTCACATAAAAGTGGATGCACAAGTGGAAATATAGAAACCAGAATGAATACGTGTGAATAAATTTTTATTTGTAATGTGTGTTTCAGCTAGATATCGAGATATCCAATAAATTTAGATTATTTTGTGGTATAATAAACAGGTCGAACCGTAGAATCTTTTATGATTCCCATCCCCACCCCAAGCCGCGAGACTTTCACCAGAATCACAAAGCCGTCCGAAATGCTCTACCTTTGCAACCGGTTCTAGGTAGAGACGGCAGACCTTGCACTCCGTTTTGGAGCATCAAAAGAGCGTGTCCTATGCCGTAAATTTGGACGACAAATGTGGCTAGTTCTAGTCGAAGAGACATCCATTCAAATAATAATAAAAAAATGGGCAATTTTTCCAATGGTCGACCCGGACCTTTTCATCCCAATAATTCAGAGCGCGCAGGAGCTTTTTCCTTGGCACCTAAAAACTTAATTCCGACCCAATGAAACAAGCTGCCGCTAATGTCTCATCAAAGCTGCGTGGCAATTTATTTCCTCCATTTGAAGGACCTAATTCTTATTGTTTGTATGAGAAGTTAAATTTTATTTTTACAATCACATTTTTAGCAATTTTTTTCATTAACACACTTTTCATAGTATACCCAAAAATTTGTCTGCGGTTTTGCCTTTGAATTTTTTTTTTTAAGTAAATTTTTTTCGTAAAAAAAGTAATTGCACTTTCAAACAAATAAAATAGTCTCATTGTACTTAAACCGTGTGTGAACGCACTTACCATTTTATCTTTAAGGAGGGTTGTAAAACTTAACAATCAACATAAAATATTAAATTCAAAGTCTAATGTAAACATTGGAATTTCAACAGAAAAAAAAAGCAAAACAAACAATCCGCCCAAATTGAATACACAATACAAGAATAAAAGTTAACACTGAATCTAATTTTAACAATCATAGAAAGTGATCCTTTTTATTGCTTATTCCAAAAAAAAATTTGATAAAAATTTAATTTTCTTAAATAAAAAATATCCTTTTGAATTCAATACGGTTGTAAATATAAACTGAATGCTTTAACGTTTTTGCTTACCCATTATAAAAATTTTTTGATTTCCTAAAAAAAAAAAGGAACTCAAAAAACAGCAGAAGAACCAAAAAATTTGCTCACAAAAAAGAATTATTATCATTCATGGTCCCCGAAAACCCATAATTTTTGCCATCAAAATAAAAAGGCAGAGCAAAAAAGTAAAAAACATTTAAAAGTTTATTACATGGAAATTTCCACATACTTTATGTTTTATCACATTTTACTTGCTTCCCTTTACACCTTTATTGTATTAAAAGTTTCAAAAGATTAAATGAATTTGTACAAACTTCATTGTATGGCAAACAAAAAAGAGTTTAACGCAAATTGTTTTAGTGTGGTTGTATGTATGTCATTGCTGTATTAAAATAATTATAAGTTGTAAATAATTTTGGGATTTTTTTTTCATAAACGTGTTTTAAAATAAATTTTTGTTTTGTTTTACGTAATTTTTAAGTTAAATTCGGTGTGTTTTTGGGAAAATTTTTGAATTTTGAGTAAGAGTTTAAAAAGAAAGGGATGTTGAAAAGGAGTAGAAGCTTCAAATATTTGAATTCATTAAATTGGCGGATTCTTAATTACGATAACTTCAAAAAATGCACACTTCAGTATAATAAATTTGGAATTTTCCATATTCATTATTTGAAATTATATTCCAAGATAAGTTTAAAAATTAATTCTTGAATAAAAGCCAAATGAAAAACAGTTTTCTTGGAGGCTACACCAACCGTAAAGTAATATTAAAAACTAAAGAGTATGAAATGAAATCAACATTGTCTTTCGGAGAAATAAACTTAAACTTCGAAATAATTAATAAGACGTAAAGTTGGGGCATAGGAATTAAATACGTGTATATTCTAAGTCGTAGAGCTCATGGAGTTCTCTGGCGCAAGACTAGTACAAGGGCAAAGTTTGAAAAAAAAGTTATAGATATGAAATTTAAAAATTTTCCACTAATGATTTTCTGTAGCTGGACGAATGGCACATTAAACAGAGACGTCTTTTGCATTTCTATTTCTTTTGTTCAAAAACTTTTAAGAAAGTTGAGCAATTCGGAGATATTTAAAGAGAAATAGAGCCTCAGAAAATTCTTAAGAAAGTTTCGTATCGTTTTCTGTAAGAATCTAAAGAAAATATTTTAATAATTTTTGAAATCGAATCGATAAAAAATTATTTTAGGATGGATCATGCATCGGGAATCCCACTCAACCTGTTTTGGTCGTTGACGATTGCGTTGTGTGAGTTCTAATTTAAAAATATCGTTAAAAATAATGCTTAACGATTGTTTTAAACTGATGAATAACGTAAAGTTATTTATAAAGTCACGAAAAAGACAAGATTTAAACCTAAATGACTCGATGAGGTTTGAGAGCCTTCTTACCAAATCAGTAAAATTTCACGTATCCAATTTTGAATTTTTAAAGTTATGTTAATTTGATTTAATACGTGCTTTCGTACAATATCTTTAAAGTTACACTTAATAGCTTTAAAATTTTTCTTTTTGGAGAAAAATTTTTAAATTTAAATTATGAAAATAAAATGTTGATAATTCATAAAAAACCAGAAACTACGGGCTTTATTTATGTGACAGTTCTTTTTTTAAATTGGAAATTTTGGAAAAAAAAAATGTTTTGGATTAGCAGCAATACCCAAATATCTACAATTCCCTTACATAAATGGTAACCTTTTATATGCTAACATTCATATAACGTGTTTAGACAAGTGATTGCCTATAAGACAGAAAGGACCATGTGGAACAAATTGTTAGTTCCGTTCCTATTGTTCGTTTTTCCGTATTTTGGCATATTACCTTTTTCCATCCAAACAAAACAAAAACATTTTTTTTTCGTTTTCCTCCAAGGCTTCTTTCTTCCTCAAACGACAATAACAAAAACAAGTAAGGATATTTTTAGACAAATTTTTTTTTTTTATTTTCATAAAAATTTTCAAATTTTATTTAATTTCTTTTATAGTTTGCATTTTCTTTTGTT